TCCCATTAAATATTCTGTTATTGCTTGAGAAATTACCTATTTGTTGAAATCTGTCCCCATTGCTCACATAACCAGATCCTCCTTGGAAGTTTAAGCCATTGTTATGCCCTTGTGAATTTGAACTCTCTCTATGCTCATAATTCTGATGTCCTCCTTGAAATTTGCTAGAACTTGCCTAATTTCCTTGCACATACATGGAATTGGATAAAGATTGCATTCTTGACTCAATGCTAGCTTTTGCACCCAACAAGTGTGCTCTGAAATCTTTAAATGACATCGTAGAGTCCCTTGCAAGAATCATTGTCTTGATTACCTCAAAATTAGTAGGCAATCCAAATAAGACAGCAATGATATAATTATTATCTTATATATTTTCAACAGCAGAAATTAACTGATCTTTAATCCCCTTGAGTCTGAGCATGAACTTGTCCACATAATCTCCTCATTTCTATGCATTGTGGAATTCTGTCTTCAGTTGATTCACATGAACCATTGATATTGAAGCAAATCTTTCTTATAAGCAGTTCCAGGCTTCTTATGAACTCTTACATCCAATGACATGCTCTATAGCATCATCGGAAAGAGTAGCGATAAGCAAGATTAATAAAGCAAGATCCTTCTTCACCCAATCTTTGTAAGTCGTAGTAATTTCCTTGGTAATTCCAGTCTCTATATTGATCAAATACTTCGGTGGACATGGTGAATCTCTAGTAAAGAAATTGAACAGCTCATAACCTCTTAAAACAGATTGAAATTGAAAGGTCCACTTCACAAAATTATCTTTTTGAAGCATAACTGTAAGCATTCCTAGCAACCCCTCAATTTTCACAGACTCAGACATTATGATATTTCAAGAATCTTTAAACAAACTGCAAATTATATCCAGCACCCAATTGAACCCAAGATTTATTAGACAATACAATTTGGCTATTGGCCTTATAAAAGTGCAACAATCCAAAATTTATCGAACTCTTCAGAGAAAAATGGCTATCGGCCTTATCCAACTCTCTACTTTACATACTTAATCTTGGCTATCGGCCTTATAAAAAACTCACTACTTCAAAGACTTAATATTGGCTATCAACCTTGAATTTTAAGCAATAACTTATGAAATATTTCACTTGTACATTGATACAAACAGTGATGTGCATTGTAGAAACCAAAAAAGAAAAGAACCTAATGGTAGTCGAAATCTTAACCCAAATCACAGAATAGAACAAATCTTGCTCGAAGAACTTCCAAGAACCCAGCGGAAGACCGGCACCAAAGACCTTCTGGTGATTGATACCATGATAACAGAAGTGAAGAATTGTAGAGAAAGTAACAATCAACAAAGAAGAAAAAAGAACAACTCTTGAGAGAGAGAGAGAGAGAGAGAGAGAGAAAGAAAGAAAGAAGAATGGAGAAAGCTAGAGAGAGAATGTGAATTGTATTTCTGTATTACTTAGTCGAAATGATCAGTTATTACATTTTTATATAGCCACACATGGCTTACACTCTAAGATATATGTTTTAACAAAACTAACTACCTAACAACCTTTTGATAACAGAGTTAACAGACTAATAGCTTTCTTAACATACACTTAACATTTTACATCATCTTACATCATTCATCAGTTGAATGAGTATCCATATTCAATACATATGATAAACATGATTAACTGGAGGGTATTGAAGAAAGGCCATTGAACCTGAAATAGACGTGCAATCATATGCAAATTACACCTTATATAAATTGGACTACAATATTAGTTCGCTCTGCATGTATATAGGGCAACACTACACTGAATACACATGCTATATGGTTCTAGATAATTGATTCCCAGTTAACAACTATAAGAATACATGCGCAAGCAGAAGTGATTGCGATGAATACAAATATATATATATGGGTCAAGAAGTATTTTGTGGTAGCAGTTTCACCAAATGACAAGTGTGGAGCCAAAAATAATCCCAAAAATTCTAGAGGCAACACGTGGACTTTTATTCAAGAAAGACAAGATTGCCCATAATAAATGGGCAAGCCTCTCAGATGCTCCCACGCCCAGCTCACATCCCTGAAGGAACTCAGTAGCTGAACACAGCTGCTCACAGCTCACCTGCCCTTGGCAAGGAATTAAAGATAAGGATTAATTACCTAAATCCTATCTTTAATACATTCCCAATTGAAGATTGACTCCAATCAAGTAAGTAATCCTAATTTATATCAATTAGGGATAATTACACTATTATCTCAAGATATTATTTCCTATTAAATATCTTAGGAATATTTAGAGAATATCTCTCTATTAAACACTTTAAATACCCCATAAATACCCCATATTCTACCAAATTTTGAGAGCTTTTGCAACCCTACAAAAGACCTAAACACTTTACTCTCTCAGAGAAACTAACTTAGGCATCAGAGATCCGTTGACCTAACCCCCACCACCACCACCATCGTGACCCACCAGGTCACGGCACCATTTCCACCCTTGCAGCGCCGTACTCTACCAAACCCTAGGCAGGAGGCCTAGGTCCATTTCCAAGCCCATGGGCACGAGGCCCAGAACTTGGCAGCTGCCACGGCAAACCCTAAGTAGGAGGCCAAGCCCAATGAAACAGCAGGTGTTGCACAGCAAACCCAAACTCGAGCCCAGACTGCAGCAGCTGCTGCCAGCCAGACAGCTCAACGGGCCCAAGCCCAAGTCATCTAGCCAGCAGGCCAAGATGTGGTAGCCCAACGGCCATGTAGGCCCAAAGCGAGTAATTGCCGGTCTAACGGGCCCCGCAACCTGCTCCGACAACCTACCATGTGGCCCAATCCATTCTAAGGCCACCTCTAGCAATCCAGATTCCGACCATAGGTCTCGCGATTGATTCAAAGTTACTTACACCCCACTTTTATGTAGGAATGCCCGTTTTGGGCTCAAGCTTTGTACCTGCAGTCCACTATATTTCTACCACACTTGGAGATGCCCATTTTCCAAGCTCTACCAATCCAAATAGCGAGCACCACTTACCTTAGCAGGTCTCCAATTTGACGAACACCCTCACACAACAGACCACCTTGGTGAACCAGCTCATTGAGTGCATCTAGATGCAGCGTGCCCAGATGAGGTGTCCCGAAGCAGGACAAGGGCGGAAGAACGTGACTCATTCCATTGGCATTCTGACAAAGAGCTGTTCAGCCCACCATGAACCGTGTGTTCGGGTAGTGTGCACTCTCGTTTGGGCCCTCAAGGAAACGTCTTCTCCTGCCTAAATGCACAGAGAAATGTTCATTCCCAACTTGACTCATGAGTCAGTGTGCATTCGAGGTTGGGTCTACATTACGACGAGCACTTAGGACATTCCAGGCGAAGTGTCCACACGAGGCTAGGCCCATAAGGAAATCCTCCTGTGAGGTAGCATAGTAGGCAGCCGCATGACACCCAGAGGAAAGCACGAGAGCAGTCCAGCTTGAGTTCCACTGGTAGCCCCTTCCAGAGCGACGATAAGTAGCACAAGGTGAACCACATGCACCGCAACCGCGGCACAGACGAGCAAGACATGCTGAAGAGCAACAGGGACCTGCAGGTCAGCACTGGGGGCAGTTGGAGGCTCCACTGCCCCCACTAGGCACAAATCTAAGAGAAAGTACAAAGGCTCGTAGCAAAGCAGCAGTGCGAATTTTAGCGCATTGACACTACCGACGATGCCCTCCATAGAGACGTGGCTAACCTGAGCAGGTCACCATTTACAGACGAGATAGAGGCAATGGAGCCACCGCAGAAGTTCAACCAGCCATATTTCACCTTATTCAAAGGAGATGAAGATCAGGACAGGCACTTGATGCACTACCGAAGTGTCATGGCCCTCTACACCAACGTTGACACTCTTATGTGCAAGATCTCTGCCACGATGCTCTAAGGCGAGGTGCAAGATTGGTTTCACACCTTGCTGCCACGTTTAATCCGGAACTTCAGCAAATTTTCCTTGGTTTTCACTAAGGAATATTCGTTCTACCGCTTAATAAAAAAGAAGTCTGACCACTTCTTCAACATGAAGAATGACCTGAAGGAGTCACTCCGCATTTTTGTCAAGAGATTTAAGGCAAAGATGGCGAAGATTGTCGAATGCGATGATAACATTGCATACTTAGCTTTCCGAAAGATGCTCCGAGTAGATCACCCATTTTTCGGAGAATTGATTATGGGTGAGAACTTATCCTTGGCAAACTCTTATGCTTTGGCAAAAAAGCACTCCCTCTGGGATGAGGAAAAAAGCTCCCAGAAACCGTGCAAAGACGCAGAATTGACTCAAAAGAAGGAAAGCGATAAATCGCTCAATAACAAAAATAAGCCAGGAAACAAACACAGGGACCGATCCTCGACAAAAGGAGGCATGGCACCCAAGTCGTACACCAAGTTTTCAAGGAGTCGAAGAATAAGTGTTTCGACCCAGTAGTGGCAGCTGAAGTGCAGAAAGACGATTCTACCTCCATCAAATAACAGGCAGGTCAAGAAGATGACGTCAAGGTCAACAATGCCCTGGCAGATGAATCAGGATGGAAACCTGAAGAAGACGTCAATCACATCTTTCTTAACCCTAAGCAGCGGTCAGACCAGGCTGAACACACATCCAAAAAACATCTGAGCGATCCCGGATATGGAGTCCCTCACTACTCTAAAGGAGATCTAAGGTTTGACCTGACGAGCAGCTGTATTCAGCCAATTCATCTCACGACCTACCGATCGATCCAAGCCGGAAGCAGCGGAGGATCTATGCATCTATATGGCGGTATCTGAGTAACAATAAGCTTTACCCTCATACGAGAAGAGTTGAAGGCCCATCGACCTGTATTCCATAATTCAAAAGTTCTCATTGATGCAGAAACCAGATACTTGAAAATCAAAATTTTGATTTTGGCGTTAGTTGTTGAAACCCGGAAGCTCAAGTCGTACCTTCAGACGTACGCAATCATCGTAATGACGTGATATTCCGCACAATCTAAACGCACGATGTTAAAGGCGCGAAAAATGGTGAACATTCTGATGAATGCAGCAACTCAGCCCAGAAACGCCTCAGAGGCAGTCAAGTACACCGTAGCCGCATCAGCCCTACTTGTAGGAGATTTTCGATGCTTGCACATCGACGTATCATCCAACTACCAAGGATCGAGGACATACCTAGTTTTTACTACTCCGGATGGTTCGATTCTCGAGCAGGCGATCACTCTAAGCTTCAAGGTGTTAAACAACGAAGCAGAGTACGAATCCCTACTAGCAGGTCTTTGATTGGCAAAATACCTAGCAGGTTTTTGATTAGCGAATGACCTAGCAGGTCTTCAATTCCCAGCTGATTACTAACCAAACTTTAGGGGATTACACAACAAAGTATCCAAAGATGGCATGATACCTTCAAAAGGTACAAGAGCGGCTAGCGACGTTTCAGGCATACATACCCACTCAGGTTCCAATAGCAGAAAATACTCATGCAGATGCATTAGCAAGCCTAGGCTCCGCACTAGACCATCGGCTTAGGCACTTCATCCAGTCAAGTACTTGGAAAAGCCAAGCGTAGGTGAGGAATCAACAGTCTAGGTGGCGCAAATTAACATAACCCAGAGTTGGCAAGATCTCATCATCAACTACATAGTCAATGGAACGTTCCTCGCATACAGACTTGAGTCTAGGAAGCTCTATATGAAGGCATCCTCGTTCGAATATCCTTTTCAGGACCACATCTCCACTGCCTATCGCCTCCCGACAACCTGAAGATTCTTAGCTCAATCCACGAAGACGTCTGTAGAAACCACTCTGGAAGCCGCTCGCTGACGTAAAAAGCTGTTAACGCTGGTTATTACTGGCCAACCATGCATTAAGACGCCAAGAAGTATATACAAAGGTGCGACAGCTGCCAGCGCTTCAAGCCTGTGCATGTATTACCTGCCAACGAACTTCACCCGCAGACGAGCTATTGGCCATTCATGTAGTGGGCGATCGACTTGGTAGGACCAATGCCGCTTGCCACTGGAGGTAGATGCATTATGATCATAGCAACCGATTACTTCATAAAATAGGTTGAAGCCGAACGCATGACTACAACTACCAGACGAACATAGAATGATTCATATGGAAGAACATCATCTGCCGATTCGGCATCCCACACTCCATTGACACCACAATGGTCCACAGTTCGTGGGCAAAGACTTGACGAAGTTCTTCGAACAATATGGCATTAAGCAACGCATGTCCACACCCCGTTATTTGCAGGGCAATGGGCAGGCTGAAGCGTCCAACAAGACCATCCTCGACGAGTTCCCTGATGTTCTATGGGCATATCGCACCACCAAAAGACAAGCAACAGGTGAAACTCTATTCTCTCTGGCCTATGGTTCTGAGATGATCATTCTTCCCAACGTCGTAGTGCCAAGCATCAGCACTGTACTGTTGAACTTTGAGCAGAACGAAAAAGAGATGGCTACCAACTTATACCTGGTAGAGAAAGAGCGCGAGAAGGTTATCACCTGCATTGCGGCCTATCGGCAGCAGCTTCTCTCCAACTACAACAAAGGGTAAAAATACGGCAGTTCCAGCTATAAGACTTAGTCCTCAAAAAAGCCTTCATCACCACTCGACGGGAAGGCTCCAAAAAGATGGCTCCCATATGGGAAGGTCCATACAAAATCAGCCAAGTAGGTGGAAGAGGCAGCTACACCCTCACCACTATGAGTGACAAAGTAATTGACAAATAATGGAATGCCTACAACCTAAGGAAGTACTATGTGTGACCTCCAACCATTTCTTGGACCCCGTTCAAGACGAAAAAGTTCAAAGACTCAAGCAGCTCAACGAACAAGACATCGCATGCTGAGAATTATCAGTTGTTATGCCATTACTGCCTACGAGGAAGGTTAATAAAAACCTTTATCTTAAGGGAAGATTGAAGGATTTATTCATAAACCTGATGAACAAAATGACCAACTCCTGCGATAAACAAAAGACACCCGCAGCCCGGCATAGATGCTGCAAGACACTTGCTGCCCGGCGGACATGGTGCAAGACACCCGCTACCCTGCATACATGGTGAAAGATGCCCGCTGCCCGGCAAACATGGCGTGAGACGCCCGTTGCCTTACGGACATGGCGTAAGATGCCCGCTGCCATGCAGACATGGCATTACCACCCTTGCGACAAGCAAAAGACGCCCTCTGCACTTTCAGACATTGTGTATCAGGAATATCCAGACGTGGATGGGTGGTACGATTGCTCAGTTTCCCCTGATGTCAGCGACTATCTGAGCCGGATGACTCCAAGAATTGGCCAAAATAGTCCTTCCACTGGAATAGACTTAGCCAACTGAATGATTCAATTTCACGGGATCCTGGGTCTCTAACCGGAAGAGACGCTAAGTGCATGACCCCTGCCCATGAAAGAGTTCGTGTGACAAGATAGTTCGCCCTCGACGCGCAAATTTCATGAAGTGGCTTGATTTTAAAGTGTTGCAATACTAGTTAAACGACCTGCAAGATCAAAGCTACGACTCGAAAGGATATGGCCTATGAGGAGCGATTTCGCCTACACCTCACACCAAAAAATGCTTCCGAGAGCCAAGGATGACACTTGAAGTGGTTACGCAGGTCATCTGCTTCTGTTAGTAACACCTGGCCGACAACTTGATGACAAAAAGCCCAAGGCAGCCTGTAAGCCGAAACTTACTTCTGCCATAACTACGTGGACTCGCCTGCTTATTTACAAGCATCACTTCCAGCCGACGATCTATGGTTTAAGTTTTGCTGGGATAAAGTCGAGTGTCACGACTATAGCAGCTACGCAGACCTCCTCTACTTCTTACGAGAAGCACGAGTCCGCCCAACGACTCTTTAAGTAAAAAATCTCGCAACATGCCCCGAGAGGGCCGAAGTTCAAAAAGTCACTAAAGTCGAGTGTCACAACTATAGTAGCTATGCAGACCTCCTCTGCTTCCTACGAGAAGCACGAGTCCGGTTGACGGCTCTATAAGTAAAAAATCTTGCAACATGCCCTGGAAGGGCTAAAGTTCACGAAGTTACCTAAAGTTGAGATTCAACTATAGTAGCTACACGAACTCGCCTACCTCCTATGAAGACAACAAGTTCAGCCGCTAGATCTATAAATTAGAAATCCAGCATTTCTTCCTTTTGCAGGTAAAGCTCTAGAAGTCTCAAAGCCAAAACTGAAGCCTAAAGTGACCGTATGAGTCAATTGCTCATTCGAAGTAGCCAACTCAACTGCACATCCTACGACAAAGTTTTGCAAAACGCCTCAAGCAGGCAAGGCTCCCAAAGCCCCGAAGCTAAAACTAAAACCTAAGTGACGACTTGGGATCAATTACTTCGTTGAGCAACACACCCAACCGCTTGTCCTACGGTAAAGTTTCACAAAAGACACGGAAAAATATAAAGATGAAGCAAAAACAAGGAAAGTTGTTTATTAAATTTCTAGCAAATTGATAAACTGGCTCGAAGGCCAACAAAGTTCAACCAAAGCAGAACAAAAAGGAAAAGAAGAAAATTCCTAAGTCTAAGCAATAAGACTACTTCATGGAAGCCTTCGCAACCACTGGTTCCTCGACTGCCACGCCTTCAACAATCGTGCCATTCCCAGCAACCAAAGCTTCCATCAACTCATCCTTAACCGCCTCTACCTAGATTGCCTGACCCTCAGCTGCTCCACCAAAGGCAACCTCAAACGAGAAATCAAGCAGATAAACTGGAGAAATGGAAAAAGTCTCGAAATCTTTCTTGGAAAACTCATAATTCGACGACCTACCTTGAAGATGGTCTACATAGCTAAGCTTGTAGAAATCAGCCTGACAAGAAGCAAGAGCCACTTCGTGACTAGCTTTCTCATTCTTCAACTGAGTATTCTCATTAACAAGCCCAGTGTAAGCACTTTGCAGCTCATCTAGTTCCTTTTTCAAGTTCTCGCTAGTAGACAGTGCACCTTGCAGATCCATTTCTTGGACTTAAGCTTACTAGCAACCTCCTTGAGATGAGACACTTCAACATGAATAAAGATAAGCTCATCGTCATTGGCAAGACAAGCAGATCGTAGCTCCGAATTGACACGCTCAAAATTCTTGACCACCGAAAAAACACGACCGACTTCCTTTTCTGTAGCTTCTAACATCGCCTGAGTCATACTAAGCCTAATATTCAAATGAGCGACTACCTTTTGAGTGATCTCCAGCTGCAAACAAGTAGGGGGCAGAGACATTTGACCCCTTTAAAACGGCGAGTTCAGATTTGAGCTTCTCAATCTTTTCAGCAACCGAGCAAAGTTAAGCCACTAACGCCATTTCGGCCTCCTTAGCACACTTGACAACATCCTAATGAACGCATATAGACTTAGCTGCCAGGATCAAAGTCTTACACATTGTAGCAATCAGGGATGACCTCATCGAGTAGGCAGGACGCTTCGCAAAGGAATCTGAGCGGATGACAACTTTCTCAACACTGTCAACAAACTTGGCGCATGCATCGACGTCCTCAAGCAAGTTAGCCTTCAGTAGTGCACAAACTTCGGGAAACTCTCCAGCCTCAAACTCGGTAGATCTCTGACAACTACTTGTGCGAGCAGATTTCCCATTCTCAGTCACGATAGAAGGAGAAGCAGGCTAGACGCCATCTTAGTATCATAATCCACTTTCCCACTCTTCATAGCGGCGAGCCTCTCAGAAGCAGAGCCAAACTTAGCTCTCGACGAACGTTTCGATACAAACCTGGACACCGAAGGCACCATTGCTCTTTCGCTGGGCAAGTCTCTCAGCAATGGATGCGGTCACCTTTGAAGCAGCAGGTTTCACAGGCTTAGGCTCAACGATCATCTTCGCCCCCTTAGGGGAAGTTAGATTAATGACAAGCTTCTCGGCAATAGACGAGCTCCCATGAGCAGCAGAAGAAGTTATTAGCTTTTTCTTAACCAAAGGCTCACAAGCAGGTAAAGAATACCTCTTCTTTCCACCATCATTGGCAGCAAGCTCTACAGCGGTGATCGGGTGAGCCAACGCCTTGTCCTTTATCCTCTTTATCTCTTCCCTTGGGGGGCAGGCTACCATTTTCCCGACGAATAAGATTGAGCAGCCAGTGCCACTTATGGTACTCAACAGGAATGCCCAAGGCGACGTGCACTTTCTTCATATCTGTCGAAGTCCTTAGAGTTGAGCCAAACTCTAAATCTAAAGTAAGAATGATGATCAATAAATTGAAGTCATAGAGCAGCTCAACAAAAATAGGACAAGAATGAAATAGTTCACTTACCACTGATAAAGGTGGTCAGGACATACAGCTCAGGAGAAGAGTCAGACTCCCACTCCTCACTTACCTCCAAGGTGTCTCTCGCCCACTCATGATTGCATTTGCTAGAAGCATCGAGCAGCCTATGGCGAGACTTCAGCTGCCTCACACCTTCCTTGTGGCCGATCTCAAAGAAGTACCATAACTCATTTATGGTCAAGCCAAGATAAAAAAACCTACTCAAGTTTGAGAACCCCACCATCGCACAAACTGCATTTGGGGAACATTGAGCAGACGCACATTTCATGGAGCAAATCACCTCCTAGAAAAGACGTGGCATGGGGTTAGGCCCGCACTTCCTTCTCCTCTTTCTTCCGCGGCCAGCACGCCCCAAGGCAGGCCTAGGCCTCCCAGGTCGCACACGCAGGAGAGTCGGCCCACACCGGTCTCCCTCCCTCTCTTTTCACTTGCACGGGCCTATGCCTAGCAGCCTTGAAGACAAGGCCCAAGCCGGTCTCCCCGCGCCCCAGCGTGCTGATCCTTTCGGCCCAAGCCTAGCCGTCCAACTGGCCCACGCCACTGCTCCACCAAGGAGCCCCGAGGCTCCCATGTCGTGTGTTACCCACACCCATGGCCCTCGCCAAGCCAATTTTTCAAGTCCCAAGACTCCCAAAAAAAATTCAAGAAGAAGAAAATTCAAATTTTTCTTACATTGGTGCGGCACAGAGAAGAAGAACAACGAGAAACGACTATTTGCAAGGGCAAGAAAAGAAGAACGCTAGGGGAGGGGGAATAAAATTTTCCTCTAGTTTCTCTTTCTTATTGGGATAATAATTGTTCTCCAAATTTATTTAATCCCTTGCTTAAGGCAGAGTTTAATAGGTATTGGGAATAATTATTTTCCTTTTCCTAAAAGAAGTCTATCTCCAAATCAAGAAAGAAGATCAAGTTCAAATTGGGAAACAACTTCACAAGCCTAAGTAGCTTGGGATTCCTACACCTACTATCCTTTTCCTGCGTGCAACACAGTAGGTGTGGGGGCATTTGTGGAACCTAAAATAATCCCAAAAATTCTAGAGACAACACGTGGACTTTTATTCAAGAAAGACAAGATTGCCCATAATAAATGGGCAGGCTTCTTAGATGCTCCCACGCTTAGCTCACATCCGTGAAGGACTTAGCAACTGAACACAACTGGCCACAGCTCACCTGCCCTTGGCAAGCAATTAAAAATAAGGATTAATTGCCCAAATCCTATCTTTAATACATTCCCATTTGAAGATTGACTCCAATCAAGTAAGTAATCATAATTTAAATCAATTAGGGATAATTACACCCTTACCTCAAGATATTATTTCTTATTAAATATCTTTGAAATATTTAGAGAATATATCTCCATTAAACACTATATGGCCGGTCATAACCCTATAAATACCCCATATTCTACCAAATTTTGAGAGCTTTTGCAATCCTAAAAAAGCCCTAAACACTTTACTATCTCAGAAAAACTAACTTAGGTATCGGAGATCCATTGATCTAACCCCCTCCACCTCATGGGCCCGTGAGGTTTAGGTCTCTGATCAAAGGTGTTGATTGTTTTGCAGGTGTATTTTTGTCAAGATTGAAGACGACGGAAATTTGTATCGACAACAATGATGACCATTTTGTTGCATAATCGAAAGCAAAATATTCATTTAGCCTACGTAATGAATTAATTTGCATCTTCCAGGTTGCAGGTACATGGATTTTTTTTTTTTTTCCCATCGTTGATAATATTTTCATGGATCCGTTTTGAATGGATATTTTCCATGTCTGTTGTAAACAACTCTCGAGATCTTTATACACGGCCATAGGTAAATAAATATCATTTACAAGAGTAAGAGCAAGACATTGGCAGTTTGATAGTGCAAACATTAAATTTTTTTTGGAAAAAAAAATGATGATAAGTTGAGGAATAACCGTACAAGTGACAAGGTTTAGGTAAAAACAATACTAGCATATGCCCCACATTTTGTGTGTGAAAATAATTTTTATTTTTATTTTAAAATAGGAAGGAGAAAGGGAGAAAAAAGGAGTGTGGATTAGAGAGAGAAGTTTTTTTTTTATATTTTATTTTTCAAAATTAGAGAATGTTAGGATCACCTTTGGATGAGGTTTTGAAAAAAAAAACCCGTAAAATTTAGTTTGTGTGAATTTACTTTACTGCCTATGATTTTGTTTTGTAGTAGAAGACAAAATTATCTTTTTATTCTCTTTTGGTTGACAAAAAAGATTTTATTAATGTAGTTTAGATATATACGCATGGGTGATATATATATTGACATTGAATATGATGGTCTAAATGTCATATGATGGTTTAGTACGTACAAAGTTTAATATGATGCTTTAATACGTATATGATTCATCTGCCACTTAGTACTACGGTTTATTAGTATTTCTTTATACTTGTAAGTGAAAAGTACTAGGTTCGATTCTCGCCTAAGAAGAATTTAAACCATATTATTGCTAAATCCATTGTGATGCTAAACCTACCCCTCTCTTTTAGTGTAGATAATGATTTGTTATTAAAAGGGATGTGCTATCCACACAACCCATTTTACTTCTGTCCGCTGATCTTCTTCAATTCATCTGATTCGACGGCCGAAAATTAAAAAGATATGTATGAAATAAAATGAGATGTGTGGATATCACACCCTTCTTTAAAAATAAAAATACGTATACGATCCATCTAATGGAACCACCATCGGCCCGAGCAAAACCTTTTCGAAATGTAGCGATAAAGTGACTGCATTTAATAGAAAAACCCTAGCCTCCTGACAGAAGCGAAGCTAGAAAACAGAAGCAAAGGAGATACGGACTTGGATTGTCTGCCCTCCTAGTTGTGGTGCCCTTCCATGCCCTCCTATTTTGTGCGGTCACGGTTAAGCCACGTCAATATTTTATATTAATTTTTTAATAAGATAATAAAACAAAAAATAATAAAAATATAAAATATTAACGTGGCTTAACCGTGACTGCACAAAATAGGAGAGCATGAAAGGGCACCACAACTAGGAGGGCAGACAATCCAAATCCAGGAGATACTATAAGTAATATAAAGAATTTTTTTTCTAGTAAACAGAAAAATTTAATTGACCCACAAAAATGCACCAAAAACGAAACAAAACAAGTTAAACATAAATACTAGCAACACACGGTCAACACAATAACATTAAGCTTATGTAGGGCAAGAGATTTCGAAGCCCCAAGTTTGAGACCAAGTTATTAAGAAATATATTACTTTGAACCGTTTGGGACATATGATGTGCTCATGGTTGTGTAATTGTTAATGTATGAACTAAAATTATTGTTTAATGGAGTATAACTCAACAAATCATGGCCATCCATTGTATAAAAAAAAAAGTAAATTGTAGCAATAGTCCCTCAACTTTAATCAAATTGAAGCAATGGCCCCTCAATTTTAATCAAATTGAAGCAATGGTCCCTCAACTAAAAATCCATTATCATTGGGCCCTCAACTTATTAAAATGTATAGCTATAGTCATTTTCATCAATTTCGTCAAAATTTTGTCAAAATAAGTTATGTTGGAATAACCATTTTATAATTAAGGTCTCTCAACTCATCAAAGTGTGTAATTATGGTTATTTTTGTCAACCATGTCAAAAAATTTGTCAAAACGAGTTATGTTGAAAGAACTATTGCTACAATTGGGTTAAAGTTGAGGGATCAATGATAATGAATTTTTAGTTGAGGGACCATAGCTGCACGTTTTGATGAGTTGAGGGACCAATGGTAATGGATTTTTAGTTGAGAGACCATAGCTACAATTTACTCTAAAAAAATTAACAAATTAAAAAAATGGAAAGATGAATTTATGAGAGTTCACTACCACAATAAGGACTGATCATAAAGTATTGCAAAACAACAATCAAATATTGGCGCAAAGTGGTGTCCTTGTAAGGAGCAGAGGTTACATAGTGGAGTAAAAGATTATCTTGAGGACAATTTGGGGCGAGAAAAGTTGAGGAGGGGCACGTGCCCCCTCTACTGCTTCTTCAGTTTCCCCTGCCTCCAAAGAAGCCAAGAAAAGTGACCATAAAGCGGGAGGAGGAAAGTTACTAGGATTTAGTATATGTCATGCTTTCCTCAGTTTCTCCTTTCCTCCTTTTCCTTTTTCTAGTTGTTACTCCTTTTGAGTTTCTCCATTGTGGTGACTAGGACTTAGTATATGTCATGCTTATCTAAAGTTTCTCCATAACTTTTTTAATCCAATCCTTCTGGGAAAATTCTTCTTCTTAATTTTAATCTAAACTAGAAATTATTATACACATGCTATGCCTATGCATACACTTAATAAAATTTTGAAAATAAATTTTACTAAAAGCGAAAATAAAAAAAGATCACTAAACCTTTTTTATAACAAACCACAAACGATTTTTTTGCTAAAGAAGTTGTTCATATCTTTAGGGATATTTTTTTAATAATTATTTCGTCACTAAAAGTTTATTTTCTTTGGAAGAGAAATATGGACTAAAAAATGAGGTCAACTTATATGATTACCTAACTATGAGGTTTTGATAAAAACAGTAAAATTATTTTGTGTTTAATTTATTGCCCATAACTTTTATTTTGATTCTTTTTCTTTAGTTTTGTTGACATCGTTAATTTGAATTTTTCTTCCTCTTTAAATTGACAGTCTTGTTAGTAAGTAAGAAAATGGAGAATTCGAACCCGGAACGCAGTAAGTTGAGAAATACCCTATCCAACATGGCAATCTACAAACTTGAAAATTGTAAATACATATCCCTTTTTCGGACGGATAAAAAGGAGCAATAGAATGGCTGATTTCCAAGACTCATTCAATTTACTTGAACCAAACATCACCAGTTCAAAGTGTGCGCCAGGTAAATTTTCAGCCGGAATTGGTCAAGAGACTGCTTACTTCAAAAGAGGGTGGGTAAGTATATCATCAGATTACACAATCCAGCCCGAAATCAGATTACAAATGCATACACAAGTTTGACGCACACATGACAAGTAAAACAAGCAAGTCCCGCTGAAATCTAGCAAGTAAAAATTGGAAGTAGAACGGTAAAAATGAACCAAAAAGAAGGAATACAACTGGCAGTCTTACAACAACGCAAACACGGGTAACCCTACATCTGAATTCAACCACCACAATAAAAACTGAGGTAAGATTACAGAGGGTGGGCTCAACTGAGTACAAAACAGAGCGTGATTCGACAAGCATCTAGAACTCAATCTACTGGGTGCGAGTTCTGCTGCTTTCTACATTTCTGATCGGGTAGAAGTAAGGATGGGCCTGCATCAGGTAAATAAGGTTATTTATGTCATTACAACATGATGAGCATAGTGCCCATGCTACAGGGATTAAGAATCCCAGACTGTTCAAAGCACGGCCGCCCTGGAAAGTCCTAAAGTTCTTTCCCAGTAACGAGCATAGTGCCCGTGTTCTGGACTGCCTCTTTCAAAGTGGGGAGTCTGAACCTATTTGTATGAACTGTTCCAACTTGGTACACCATTACTTTTTCCTCACATGCTTGGTAGACGGGAAAGAACTGTAACATGATAATTGTCTTTGCCCAGTAACGAACAGGAAAAGCATCTCAAAGAGTGATGCTACCTTCAAATGACAAACAATTACGGAACCAATAGAAATTATAAGCTTCTTTCGTTTTCTCTTTTGGTTGGAGGAAAAGATATCAATCTGTTAGCCACACAATCACCAAAAGATTATGCTCTTCATCCCACTGCCAAAATACCTTTTGGTGTTAAACTATGGCTACCAAAAGAAAAAAGAAAAAAGTTCTAAATAACTTCTATTTGTTTGGTAATAGCTTGTCATTGGAAGAAGTAGTACCTCTTCAAATGAATTCCTAGCCATTATTGTGAAGGAAACATTATAGCTTCAGTTCCGACCATCTCTCATATGAGGAAGAAGTGATAGTGTAACAATATGGAATGTAAGCACAAACAAATTTCTGACTCCCTGTAACGAGTAGAAACAGCCAAGTCCAAATCTGCAAGCTAACTGAATGTAGGCCCTGTGGGGCAGAGAGCATGCAGCACTAGCCCCTACTTAAGGGCCGTGCTTTGAATAGTCTAGGTTGAGGAAGAACTAGGATTTTACCATTGCTTCTTTTGCAGTTGGTCTTTCCTGGTGATCATAGTGCAACAACTTGTCTACAAAGTCAAGCGCCTAGAGAAAAAGGCACCAGAAAAAATTTAAACTACGGAATACTCAATACAAGTAGTATTAAACACAATGACAAGAATTTACCTCAGGAACCGCTAAGTGCTGATTATCAACATTAATGAATTTTGTCCATGGTTTCCTGCTATGCCTACATCAGAAATTTTTTTTTTTAAAAAATAAAAATAAAAACAAAAGTCGGCATTGCTGGTAATAGAGGAATAAGAAACAAACTATGAAAAATACCACCTACCTCCCAACTAGAGCTGCAAGGTGTGGGTCTAATTCTATGCGGTACTTGTGCAGATAAGCCTTTAATTCATCTGTCCCAAGTACCTGTTGCAGTAGAAAATGCCAAGACTTAAATTAGATTTCAAATGCTTTTTCTTCTTTTTGAAAACAACACTAAATATGATACAGATAATAGCGTGCGCACACACATTTGTTACACGAATTGAAATACTCCAAAACATACACAACACAAAAATCTTTTTGACGGAGTAGAGCATATGACAAACTATTTTCAGTGTAATAAATACAAAAACAAATGACAGAACTGAACTCTCTCATATGAATGAGTACCTTTGCTATTTTGACTAGCTGATCATAGTTATCATGCCCATAGAAGAATGGCTCCTTACGAAATATCTGTACAGCACAAGGCTCAAGAATAAGCATCAGGAGAGAGCATCACATACTTCGACATGGTATCAAATTTTGAACCTCCTTGCCATCCGCCACCCATGGATAAATCAATGTTTTAAAAGGCTCGCCTCAGGGCGCGCCTAGGCGTCCTCTGAGGCTGGGCGTGAGGGTTGCCGCCTGTGTTTTGAGGGAGTGGGTGGAAGGCGTCGCCGGAGCCGCCTAGGTGCGCCTTAGGGGTTTTTTCTTTTCTTTTTTTTTTTTTTTTTTTTTTTTTGAGTACTCCCAAACCCAAATTTTGGGTAGGGTTTTAATTGCCTCATACCTCTTCCTTGCACTATCGTCTCTCTACCTTTTTTCTAATTTTTATTTTTTTATATAATGGATGTGTGCGCTGTATGCGTGCATTGTTATATGTGTGCTTATTGTGCTTTTCATCCTCTATTATATAAATATATATATATATAAATATATATATATATATATAAAATAAAATATATGTATATATATGTGTGTATATATATTTATAATATATATGTGTGCTCAGGGTGATTATTGATTAATAATCTTTTTTTTTTTAATATATGTGTACGCTCAATGTATATATTAAAAAATTTAGGTCCTGTGAGGTTTCGCCTCATGCCTAGGCCGGACTATCCCTCGGACACCTCGCCTATGCCTCACGCTTTTAATACATTGGGATAAAAGGCAAGCAGATCAAGATATAGTGTCCATGGATACTAAGAAGAAGAAGAAAAAGTTTATCCTGCACACCTAAAATACTCATTTTGGGACACAAAAAACTATTTCTGATATTTAAGCACCCCCCAGCAGATGCACAAGTGTCAGTTATCAGGGGGTGATACTGAGCAGGGGGATGACCAGGATACACAACACTTGATATTTCCCGGCCAAAATACCAGCATAAACATAGTCAGAGGAGGAGTATCTGATATATATATATATATATAACTTAATAGTTAATAAAACAGAAAGATGGGAATGCTCACCATTCCAGCAAACATACAACCGAGACTCCACAAATCTAAAGAATAATCATAATCTTGCAAATCAACAAGAAGCTCAGGACCTTTGAAATACCTGCAATCAAATGTGAAAGGGGAAAGAGCATAAGACAAATTTGAAGAAAATTTGTATATACCAAATTTAAAGCAAAAAGGTTTCTCGATGCTCATTTACATTTATAAGCTGTCGTCAAACTATAAACATGAAACAAGACTCTTAATGCTAATGGCAGGTAGCGAATGAAAACTCAATTTAAAGCATAATGTTACATATAATACAAAGTATAAACTAAAAAGTGTCCGCTTCATTTTGCATTATTTGCTTCTTTACTATTGCTCCTCTGTTCCCAAATAAATCGCAGGTATGATTTTGCACTATTGTCATACATTTTGCATACCACATCAATCCTAGTCCAGAATACCACCTCAAGTCAGTTAACTTTCAACCCCTCCTTTGTAAAAGAAAAGTAATAACAACTTACTCTCTTATCGATAATAATCCAACTCCTGGTTACATTTCAGCATATATAACTTTACATCATCGTGTGCTTCAGAAATTTACAAAGTACAACATGTTTCAGGCATCTCAAAAACTATAACACGTTAGTTTTGCAGCATGAGATCCATGATTTACGATTTCCTGTAGTCTGTATTTGAAGTATGCATATAATGTCTTATCATAGCCAAACAAAGAATTGAACAGTTCCCTTGCAAATTGCAATATAAAATTGAATGAAGCCCATAAGGGCATTGAGGCACAAGGTTTCAAACATTGTAAGCCCACAATAAAATTAATAAAGTTATGAAAGTTTCAGCTAACATAACAATATATGGAACGCGACAAATCTTATTGTGTTTTGTGAAGTAGAAGATCAAATGAAAATAACCTTGAAGCAACCCGAACATTATATTCCTTCTCAGGATGATAAAACTCGGCAAGGCCCCAATCAATAAGGCGAAGCTTACGCTGCTCATGATCAATCATAACATTATGGGGCTTCACATCTCGATGTATAATACCTTGTGAGTGGCAATAATCCAAAGCCTACAAGGAGATCAGTAAAGACCGAGTTAGCAGATCTTACAAGCTGGAACTTTACCTTTGAGCTGGAAAATGAAAGTGCACACTTTGAGCATTGAAGACAGAACATAAAACTGCATCAATAACAACCTGGACCTTGTTACCAATTGATTCAACCAGAAACTGAAAAATAATTAAAAGAGATCATAAGAGACCTCCAAAATTTAAATTTCAAGATTGTATAGAATTAAGGCCCAATTGCCTCAAGTATGAAGAGATGAATCTTCCCTTCCTTCTTTTTCTATGGTTGTGTCCTATATAACTCCTGTGAGTTGAGCTGTTCAGTGTCTATTAATAGAAGGGATAAACTAGAAATAAGCATCTGAATGAACTTCTCCTTTAGTATAAGGACAGTGGATTTCAAGATCCAACATAAAGAACACTTAACAAAGAAGATTAAAAATGGATGCTGCCCATATCTGAGTCCTACAGGTGGCTCAACCACGACTGCTAAGTAGTAAAACCATAACCGATCAGCATGCCCTTACCATATACTCACATAATCACAAGCAGAAATGTAAACCGCATCATGCAAATTTCATTGAGACTCTTTAGTGTTACTCACTTTGAAGACAATATGCTTTCTCCTGGCTTATTGGGATCATCTACCTCCGTCAATATTTTCTTCCACCCAAATTTGTGGGTGGAGATTAGGGATGGGTATAATCTCGTGAACCCAAAGCGCCATAGTGCAAAGCCCTGCCCTAACGTGGCAGATTTGGGGGAATAAATAGCAACTGAACTGGGGGTGAGATTTCACCTCACATTCAGGGTGAGGATAGGGATGGCAATCCCTGAATCAAATATGCTAATTCCAATGTTTTACTTTTTCTATTTTATGATGTTATATAGTTATACAAATATTGTGTGTAAAGTGAACTATATTTTGTTACGGTTGTAACAATGTATTTCAATTTTATTATCTAATAGCCAAAATATTGTTTTTTAAGGAAAGGGTAGCAGTGAAGGGGGACTAATATTCTTGCGGGGAAGGGTGGGGAATCTCTGTATTCTTTATGGAAACAAGGCAAGTGTGGGGATGAGGATTGAGAATGGAAATAGAGATGCCTAAGCTAGACCATCCCACCGGTTTCCATCCTTGGTGGAGATGCATAAAGGTGAGCATAGTACCTAGGCCATTCCCCAAAAGAACATAAACTAAGTGGCAGTCAGCCGAATAAATCCTTGATCCATACTACAACCCAAAATTATTTCCCATTACCACAAGTTTGCCTGTAATTCAAAAGGTTCACACAGCCGGCACTCCATGATCACGTCGAATCCTTATGAAAATGAATCCAGAACAAAATCGCGCTAAAACTAGGGCGTCACCCGTAAGTGGCGCGCTGTGTGGCCCGAGCACAGTGATAAATGAGCAAGGGTCGCTGTATCTCCATCGGCACCCGGATGCAGTGTTAAATGAGCAAGGGGGCCATAGAAACTTCTTTTCGAACGACTCCACTCAAAGTTGTTTGGGAGCATATGCTCCTATCAACTTTACACGGGACACACAAAAGAAGTACTTTGATCCTATTAGACGGGGGAGGGTGAAGAAGCTAGGACAGAAGGGTAGAGTTCAAGAGAGCAAAATGCGTTTAGGAACGTGGAATATAGGAACCTTAACGGGAAAATCTATGGAAGTAGTTGGAAGTTATGGTGAGGAGAAGGATAAATATTATGTGCCTACAAGAAACTAAGTGGGTTGGTCTAGTAAGGCAAAGGATCTAGAAAACTCAGGGTTTTAAACTTTTGGTATTCGGGCACAAATAGAACGAGAAAACGGTGTTGGCATCATCGTGGACAAGACATTGACACAAGATGTTGTAGATGTCAAGAGGGTAGGAGATAGAATCATGGCAATCAAGATTGTAATAGGACAAGAACTTATCAATGTGATTAGTGCGTACGCACCTCAAGTAGGGTTGGATGCGAGTTCGAAGGAGAAATTTTGGGAAGACCTTGGAGACTTGGTGCAAGGAATTGCTCAGACGGAGAAGTTATTTATAGGAGGAGATTTAAATGGACACGTGGGCAGGGAGACAGGCAACTATGGAGGTTTTCCATGGTGGCCATGGTTTTGGGGAGAGAAACGAAGGATGGGGAAGCTATCTTGGATTTTGCAATGGCATATGATCTCTTCTTAGCCAACACCTTCTTTAAGAAGAGAGAAGAACATGTGATCACCTACAAGAGTGGGTCGTCAAAAAACACAAATAGATTTTCTCCTAATGAGGAAAGGGGATCGTATAACTTGTAAGGATTACAAAGTTATACCAGGAGAGAGCGTGGCTAATCAACATCGCTTGTTGGTGATGGATGTAACATATCAAAAGAGTGAGACAAAAAAACAAGACTTGGAAGTGCCCAAGGACTAGATGGTGGAATCTAAAAGGAAGAAAAACAAGCCATTTTCAAAGAGAAAGTAATCACCCAGTGTGTGTGGGATAGAGGAGGGAAGCTAGCCAAATGTAGGATTCCATGGCTAGTTGTATTCGAAAAGTAGCAAAAAAGGTATTAGGAGAGTCCAAAGGTTTTGCCCCACACCAAAAGGAATCTTGGTGGTGGAATGAGGAGGTACAAACAAAGGTGAAGGCTAAGAAGGAATGTTGTAAAGCCTTATACAAGGACATAGGACCGATGAAAATGGTGAAAGGTATAGAAAAGCGAAGCAAGAAGCGAAGAAAGCTGTGAGAGAAGCTAAGTTAGCGGCTTATGACGATATGTATAAGCGACTAGATACCAAAGAAGGAGAGTTGGATATCTATAAATTAGCTAGAGCAAGGGAAAAGAAGACAAAGGACCTAAACCAAGTGAGGTGCATCAAGGATGAGGATGGAAAGGTTCTTGCTACAGAGAACGCGGTTAAAGACAGATGGAAAGGTTATTTTCATAATCTTTTCAATGAAGGACATGAAAAGGAGTACTTCTTTAGGGGAGTTGAGTAACTCAGAAGAGTGTAGAAACTACTCTTTTTATCGTAGAATCCGGAAGGAAGAAGTGGTTGTAGCTTTGAAGAAGATGAAGCATAGAAAAGCAGTAGGCCCAGACGATATACCAATCGAAGTGTGGAAAGTTTTGGGAGAGACAGGTATATAGCATGGCTCACTGACCTTTTCAATAGGATTTTGAAAACGAAGAAGATGCCAAATGAGTGGCGAAACGAGCACTTTGGTGCCTATCTACAAGAATAAGGGCGATGTACAAAATTGCATGAACTATAGGGGTATTAAGCTAATGAGTCATACAATGAAGCTCTGGGAGAGAGTCATTGAGCATAGATTCAGGCAAGAGACACGGGTTTCGGACAACCAATTCGGGTTCATGCCAGGGCGCTCAACCATGGAGGCAATCTATCTCTTACGAAGATTGATGGAAAGATATAGAGATGGGAAAAAGGATTTACACATGGTCTTTATAGATTTGGAAAAAGCGTATGATAGGGTCCCAAGAGACATTCTTTGGAGGATTTTAGAGAAGAAAGGAGTACGAGTAGCATATATCCAAGCTATAAAGGATATGTATGAAGGAGCAAAGACTGCCGTAAGAACTCATGAACGACAAACCGAAAGCTTTCCCATAACTGTAGGATTACATCAAGGCTCATCCTTAAGTCCTTACCTTTTTGCGTTGGTAATGGATGAGTTAACAGGACATATTCAAGATGATATTCCTTGGTGTATGCTTTTTCGCAAACGATATAGTGTTGATAGATGAAACTCAGGAAGGGGTAAATGCAAAGCTTAACCTTTGGAGAGAAGTGCTGGAATCTAAAGGTCTTCGCCTAAGCCGATCAAAGACAGAATATATGGAGTGCAAGTTCAGTGCAAATGGAGGCCAAAAACGAGTTAGGGGTGAGGATCGGAGATCAAGAAATACCAAAGAGCGACCGTTTTCGTTACCTAGGATCTATCTTGCAAAAAGAACGGAGAATTAGATGGAGATCTCAACCATAGAATACAAGCTGGATGGATGAAGTGGAAGAGTGCATCCGGCGTGTTGTGTGACCGCCGTATGCCACTGAAGCTCAAGGGAAAATTTTATAGGACGGCAATAAGGCCAGCGATGCTGTATGGCACAGAATGTTGGGCGGTGAAGCATCAACACATACACAAAATGGGGTGTAGCGGAGATGAGGATGCTTCGTTGGATGTGTGGGCACACGAGAAAGGATAAGATTAAGAATGAGGATATCCGGGGTAAAGTAGGAGTAGCCGAAATTGAAGGCAAGATGAGAGAAAATTGGTTTACGGTGGTTTGGACATGTGCAACGAAGGCCTACTGACGCTCCGATTAGAAGATGCGACTATGGGACAGAGGTTCAGGGCCGAAGGGGAAGAGGAAGACCTAGGAAAACTTTGGAAGAGACTCTAAGAAAAGACTTAGAGTACTTGGATCTAACGAAGGACATGACACAGGACCGAGCACAATGGCGTTCTAAGATTCATATAGCCGATCCCACTCAGTGACTTGGATTTTCCAAGTCTCCAACCGAGAAGTTTTCCTCACTCGGGAAATTAAGGGAACACTACCCCAACCTACATGCTCCACTCAGAAAGCTTCAACATACAAGCTTCAACAAAAGAAAATTCAAAGAACTTAGCGAAGAAGGTTTTGGTGTAATTTAACACAATACATTGAAATGAAGGAAAACTTATTTATTGATCATCAGTTTCCTTCATTTGGTCAAGCTTCCTCTTCATGTTTGTAGCATAGTCATGTGCGAGCCGGTGCAACTGTTTATTCTCATGCTTGAGCCCTCTAATCTCCTGTTTGAGACTCATCACCTCAGCCGCCAATGATTCAACTTGGCGGGTTCGAGCAAATAGGCGTTGGGCCATATTAGACACAGAACCTGCACACTGAACACTGAGAGCCAGCGAATCCTTAACAACTAACTCATCAGACCGTTTGGAAAGTAGTCTGTTATCTTTGGGCGTGAGAAGGTTCCTGGCCACCACCGCAGCAGTCATATCATTCTTCATTACGGAATCCCCAACGGTAAGAGGACCAGTAGGGGAGACGAAGGATGGGCGCCATATGTTGTCTGGAGAAGGCGGGGCTGCCTCTTCAACAAGGTTCAAGTCAAAAACGACGGTCGGAGGGGCCAGACATTTTCAAAGGTGTTGAAGAGAGAAGAGGTTGGACAAATCAAGATCTTAGAAGGGCAAGAATGGAGCTTCTACTGGTGGAGATTCAAGTGTGCTTTCGGAACTTAATGCCAAGCCCCTATAAAAATCTGCACTCAACGGAGCTTCAGAAATCGAAGAGGCACCTGCTCAGAAATCGAAGAGGCGTTTGCTTTCTCAAAAGCTGGGCTGCTTAGAGACCACGAAGGTTGATCTCAAAAATCGAAGAGGCGTTTGCTTTCTCAAAAGTTAGGTTGCTCAAAGACCACGAAGGCCAATCTCAGAAATCGAAGAGGCGCTCGCTTTCTCAAAAGCTGGGCTCCTCAGAGACCACGAGGGCCGATCTCAGAAATCGAAGAGGCACCTACTTTTCTAGCCTTGTCAGCACCTGTCACACGCACACTCAGCTTTGCGGAAATTATGGGCATTCTGTCGAAGACTTCTCGAGAGCCAGATACCACAGACCACTTTTTCAAAGTGCTCTGACAGAGTTAAAACATGTGAAGCTGGCAGCTCCCACTACTGTGCTATGACCAAGCAGGGTAAAGGAATAGCATTACTACTTGTTAGGGAGACTCCTATATATGTCGACCTTCATCCCCAACGGACAGGCAGACCTGCAAAAATGCTCAACCCTTCCTCATATCTGAGAAGGCACTCCCCACGAAGCCTTTCGAAATATTCAGCTTTCTTTCCCCCCGATAATACCTCTGCAAACAAGCTATACTAGAGCAAGAATATCTCATATCATCAGGGTTAAAAGCAAGAGTATCCCATATCATGCTTTTTCCCTGTATTTTCCTTTGGCCTTGTTTTTACCTGCAAGACAAGGAGAAAGAGAGCAATCAGTCAGCACTTGGCATCAAGCTTCCAGCCAGGAACTGACTGCCTGGAACCCCTTACCTGATTACTTACCTGGCATTGCTCTCGAGTACTCATCTTCAACATCTTATGTTTCCAGGGAAGATACCGCATCTGCTTGAGGAACAGATAGGGCAAGTGCGAAGGATACAAGGAAGCATGTGGAGACAAGCGTAACAGCACACGTGCCGATACATCCATTACTCTGTCAAAAGCAAAAGTATCCCATATCAGCAGGGTCGAACGTACTCTAGATTTGATGGACTTGTTTTGACCCTCAAATTCTTCAGTCGGCTCTGGAGGAAACCAGAAAACCCTCCAGCTCAGTTCAAGAATAAGCCTGTGGAAAGTTACTTCTTCAAAAGCAAAAGTATCCCATATCATCTCTTCTCATTTTTCTTCTCTTTATCCTTCATGCTGCCTGCAAGATGGGGAGAAGGTGAACAATCAGCCGGAGCTCTGATTGCTTACCTTGTCTGTCACCTCTTTCAGCAGATCCCCTAGCTCGGCGACTTGGGGGACTCCTACTACATGGTTTGTATCGCGCTTGACCAAGCCTGAAACTACAAGTAAGCTTCAAGTGAAATTGATACATTACCTTGTGCATCTCCACCAGTTAAAGATACCACCCCTGGATGGAGGAAGAGTACTTCCAGAGAAGATGTCACATCTACCTATGAGACAGATAAGGCAAGTCAAGACGATACCACACTCCGATACTTAGAAGTTTCGTGATTACGAGATCATTCTCTCACAATATTTCCTAATGTCATTTGTACTAAATCATTCACTTGTACTCACTAAAGGAGAGCTTGAACCTATGTACTTGTGTAAACTCTTCACAATTAATGAGAACTCTTCTATTCCGTGGACGTAGCCAATCTGGGTGAACCATGTACATCTTGTGTTTGCTTTCCTATCTCTATTCATTTATATACTTATCCACACTAATGACCGGAGCAATCTAGCGAAGATCACAAAAAGCGACCGTTTTGCTGCCTATGATCTATCTTGCAAGAGAACGGAGAATTAGATGGAGATCTCAACCATAGAATACGAGCTGGATGGATGAAGTGTAAGAGTGCATCCGGCGTGTTATGTGACCGTCGTAGGCCACTGAAGCTCAAGGGAAAATTTCATAGGACGACAATAAGGCCAATGATGTTGTGTATGGCACAGAATGTTGGACGGTGAAGCATCAACACGTACACAAAATGGGTGTAGCGGAGATGAGGATGCTTCGTGGGATGTGTGGGCACACGAGAAAGGATAAGATTGGGCATGAGGATATCCGAGGTAAAGTAGGAGTAGCCGAAATTGAAGGAAAGATGAGAGAAAATCGGTTTCGGTGATTTGGACATGGGCAAAGAAGGCCGACTGACGCTCCGGTTCGAAGATGTGACTACGGGACAGAGGTTCAGGGCCGAAGGGGTAGAGGAAGACCTAGGAAAACTTTGGAAGAGACTCTAAGAAAAGACTTAGAGTACTTGGATCTAACGGAGGACATGACACAAAACCGAGCGCAATGGCGTTCTAGGATTCATATAGCCGACCCCACTTAGTGGGAAAAGGCTTTGTTGTTGTTGTTGTTGTTGTGTAAAGTGAGAAACCAAAATTGCATAGAAGAAAAATGCAGTGAAGCTTCTAGTCCCAACCATCACCACAAACCCCAAAGAGAAAGAAATCGACCTTTTTTAGGCCTTGAAAAGAAACTGACCTTTCAAACCTTACAAATGTAAACAATTAACTCAGTTTAATTATCACCTCTTTATGGACACATAATCCATGCTTATTCTAAGGGAGTTAAAGTCTCACAACTCATCATTTTAGGAACTGCTGAACCAGAATAGCAAGCTTACCTTGAGAAGTTCATAGATGTAATATCGTATGTCAAAGTCTGAAAGTGTCGGATAAAGGACTTTAAAATCTGTATTATTCACATATTCGAATATAAGACTAGGGGTCTTAGATTGCTGATCTCTGACAATATCAAGCAACTTCACAATATTTGGCCCCCCACAGAGATTCTGCAATATTTTTATCTCCCTCTTAATCTGCATTTCGAACCAAACAGAAAAGTAAGCATCACCGCAGTGATTCAATACAAATCTCTTGTACAGAAGAAAACTTTTACTTCATATGCCAGGGGCAGTCAAAATTGTTTCTTGGGGTTGGTTAAACCTCCAAATTAAAGATCTTTTTCAGTTTCCGGTGAATAGGTTGCACCGACACTTCAGGAAAAAAAATCATGATAGGATTTCACTCATACTCTTCCAATACACTATCCTCATTCATTTAGTATCTAACAAATGAAAGAACACTAACTTTCCACTCAAGCTAACTTAATTCTATGAAAACATCAGCCGTATACAAGTACATAATCCGCGATTACGAGAAATATTAAACCGGCATCCATGATAACAAGAACGAAACAAATAGAATTACCCAACTGATAAGAACAACAAAATGTCAAATGTTTTTCACATAAACAGGTAAAAGCAATGCAATTCAGAACTTACCTTCTTCTTTTTAACAGGTTTGAGAATCTTGATAATACATTTTTCGTTATCGGTACAGTGAATCCCTTCAAACACTTCACTGTACTTTCCTCTCCCAACCTTCTTCACCACCTCATAATCATCCTGCTCCCTGTACATTAATCACAATTAATTCAAAATAGTAAAAACATTTATCCATCAATATTCAATTTTCCCACCAGCCCAAACCAGATTTTCCTCCATTTTCTCACAATCCAAACAAGAAGAAGAGAATTTCATCAGTTTATTACCCCCATTGGACGGTGAGGGACTCGTAGTCCCAGTAGTCCTTGGGTCGGATCACGTTGACATCGGCGTAAGTCCTAGCCTTGGAGGCGGCGCCAGGGCGGCGAATCGATTTACAGATCTTCTGCGCCAGGGTTTCGTGATAAGGATGAAGCGGCCTCGGGGGGTGGTGAAAGGTCGTATGGCGGTGAGGGAGAGGAGTTGCTGAGGACGCGATGCAGCGGACGAGAGGCGGCGGGGAAGGGTGGAAGTGGTGGGAGGAGAAGGAGAGAGGAGACGGCGGAGGGTGGCCGCGAGCGAGGAAGAGAGAGAGAAGGTTGTGGTGGTGGGAGACGGTGAATTCCAAGGAGGGCCTTATGGCCATCAATCAAATCGCCCAATACAAAAAGTAGCAGAAGGACCGATGCCCCAGTCCTTCTCTCTCTCTATATCCCTTTCCATTTTTGTTTATTCTTTTATAATTTTTTTATTTTTTTTAAAATAATATTTGACTATTCAAAGATGAGTATAAACTCTTACTCAAAATTCTTTATGTTTTAATTACAGAACTTGGTACTTATAATCAGAACCGTTTATACTATAAATCACTTTGTAAAAATTATCTCTGCAAAAAATAAATTAAAACTAAGTTCCTACTCATCTTTTGTCACATCCCGGCCCGGACTCCACCACATTCCGAGCTCAACTCTACCGTAGCACGATATTGTCCGCCTTGAACCCCGACCACGCCCTCAAGATTTTGTTTTTGAGAACTCACACGAGAACTTCCCAATGGATCACCCATCATGGGATTGCTCTCGCGCAAACTTGCTTAACTTCGGAGTTCTGATGGAACCCGAAGCCAATGAGCTCCCAAAAGGCTTCGTGCTAGGTAGAGATGAGAATATACATATAAGGCTTACATGATTCACTTTCCTGGGCGATGTGGGATGTTGCATCTTTGAGTAGTCAAGTATTGTTCTTTTTTTAATTTGTTTGAGATTAAGACATTCTTTAAAATATTCATGAAATTGTCAATATGTTCATTGAAATACCTAAGAAATTAAGGATTCATATGGAAATGAGAGTGAAATACAAACTTCACTCTATATCGGCAAGATATAGACAAAATTAAAATAATAAAATGTCAATGATATTTATCGATTTTATAAAAATTTAGCCCAAAACTCATTGAAGATTTCAAAATTTTGAATTTTTTTTGTTTGAGAAATTTTCTCTAATTTCGATTTATGAATGGGTTTTTTTTTTTAAGAGATTAAATATGAATGAGTTGATATACACATTCCCTTACAAATTTTTAAATTTTAGTTGAAGAAAACCAATGTCAATATCGATCTCTCCATAAATTTGCATATTAATATTTCTACATATTAATATTTTAAATCTCTACTAATTAATAAAACTCTCTTTGTCAACCAAAAGAGGGTGAAAAGATAAATTAGTCTTCTATCACAAAAAAAAAATGATGGGCAATAATGTAATTTCACAAGTCCAAATTTTACAGTTTTTTTTTAAGTCTCACCTACATGTGATGTTAAAATACCTCTAATATTTAAAAATAAAAAAAAACAAAAACAAAAACCAAAAACAAAAACCTCTCACTTCCCCCACATTCTCTCTCTCTCCCTCTCTCCTTCTCATTTTCTAAAAAAATGTGTTCATACACACAAAGTGTGTAGGCAAATGCTAATATTAATTATAACAACTTTTTTTTTAATAAGAAAGACACATTCGATTTGTTTGTGATTAAATTTCACATTTTGACTTTGTAATTGGGGCTTTGGAACAGTTATTTGTGTATATTTAATAATAGATTGATTGACTAATGACTCAATGATGAGCAATGATGATGGATGAACTACAATATTCTTGTAAATGAAGTATTTAAGGGTTATTTTATGCATATTCCATATTTTATTGACTACACATTCACATACTTAATACACTCTATATCTATTTTTTTAATCAAAATTTATCCTAATACACTTAACATAATTTTCAATACCACCCTCACACCAGATACTGCACTTAAATCCCACATCAAACTCATCCTTGTCAACAAAAGAAAGAAAGAAAAATTCACAATGCTACTTGTTGATGCACAAAATTAGTGAGGACTTTGGTACAACAGAAAGTGTTAAGTTTGTGATCTTCGCTAGATTTCTCCAGTCACTAGTGTGGATAAGTATGTAAATGGATAGAGACAGGGAAGCAAACATAAGATGTACGTGGTTCACCCAGATTGGCTACGTCGACGGAGTATAAGAGATCTCATTAATTGTGACGGGTTTACACAAGTACATAAGTTCAAGCTCTCCTTTAGTGAGTACTAATGAATTATTTAGTACAAATAACATTAGGTAATATTGTGAGAGAATGATCTCTATTTATATAAGAGAGTTTCTAGTTTCATTCTGACATTGACACATGTCATGCTGTGATTGGTCTCTGATGTCGACATGTGTCGCATTATGATTGGCCTCTAATGTTGACATGTGTCGCGTTGTGATTGGCCTCTTGGTTGGAGGGAGACTCTTGTTGGTCATGAGCGGTATAATGTTGACCGGTGCTTAGTAGTTTCGGGGTTGGTCAAGTATGGTACAAATAGTGCTCCCCTAAGTTCTCGAGTGAGGGAAGCTCCTCGGTGGGGGACTTGCAAGATCCAAACCATTGAGTAATCACGAAACTTCTAAGTACCGAAGTGTGATATCATTTTCACTTGCTTTATCTGTCTCATATGTAGATGTGGCATCTTCTCTGGAAGTACTTTTTCTCCATCCAGGGGTGGTATCTTTAACCGATGAAGATGCACAAGGTAATGTATCAATTTCACTTGAAGCTTACTTGTAGTTTCGGGCTTGGTCAAGTGCGATACAAACCCTATAGTAGGAGTCCCCCAAGTCGCTGAGCTAAGAGATTTGCTGAATGAGGTAACAGACAAGGTAAGTAATCAGACTGCCAAGCAAGCAACCTGGATCAGAGGTTCGACTTCGGCTTCCGATTGATTGTTCTCCTTCTCCTTGTGTCGTAAACAGCAATAAGGATAAGAAGAAGCAAATAGAGAAGAGATGATATGAGATACTTTTGCTTTTGAATAAGTAACTTTCCACAGGCTTATTCTTGAACTGGGCTGGAGGGTTTTCTAGTTTCCTCTAGAGTATAAAGCCGACTCAAGAATTTGAGGGTCAAAACAAGTCCATCAAATCTATAGTACGTTCGACCCTGATGATATGGGATACTTTTGTTGTTGATAAAGTAGTGGATGTATCGGCACATGTTCTGTTACGCTTGTCTCCACATGCTTCCTTGTATCATTCTCACTTGCCCTATCTGTTCCTCAAGCAGATGTAGTATCTTCTCTGGAAGCATAAGATGTTGAAGATGAGTACTCGGGAGCAATGTCAAGTAAGTAATCAAGCAAGGGGTTCGAGGCAGTCAGTTTCTAACTGAAAACTTGATTCCAAGTGCTAACTGATTGCTCTCTTTCTCCTTATCTTGTAGGTAAGAACAAGGCTAAAGGAAAAGACAGGGGAAAAGCATGATATGGGATACTCTTGCTTTTAAACCTGATGATATGAGATACTCATGCTCTGTTGTGGCTTGTTTGCAGAGGTATTATCGGGGGGAAAAGAAGCTGAGTATTTCGAGAGACTCTGCTGAGAGTGCCCTCTCAGATGTGAAGAAAAGTTGAGCATTTTTTATATTTGCAGGTTTGCCTGGCTATGGAAGATGAAGGTCGACATATATAGGAATTATCCCAACAGCGAGTGGTAACACTGTTCCTTTACCCTTCTCGGTCATAGCAATGTAGTGGAAGCTGCAAGATTCACATGTTTTAACTTTGTCAATTTGAAAAAGTGGTCTGTGGTATCTGGAAAGCTGATGTTGCGTGTGAAGATTGCAGACAAGCTTTATCCAAGGAAATCTAGCTTTCGAAGTTCGGAGAGTGATGCCTTTTCGATTTTCGAACAAGCAATCTTGTCGGGGATCTAGCTCTCGAGATTCGGAGAACGGTGCCTCTTCGATTTTTGAACAAGTAATCATGTTGGGAGTCTGGCTCTCGAGATTCGGAGGGCGGTGCCTCTTCGATTTTTGAGTAAGTAATCATGTTGGGAGTCTGGCTCTCGAGATTCTGAGGGCGGTGTCTCTTCGATTTTTGAGAAAACAATCCTGGTAGGAGTTTGGCTCTCGAAATCCAGGGAGCGGTACCTCTTTGATTTTTGAGCAAGTAATCCTATTGGGAGTGTTTTCTCGATGTGAGTAAAGGTTGGGCGTTTTTGCAGTCTGCCTTACTACGGAGTACGGAGGTTGACACACACAGGGACTTTCTAGTTATCAAGCAATGGTGCTGTTTCTTTACCCTTATGGGTAATGGTAGGGTAGCTGAACCTTCAAAATTTATGTGTCTAAACTTTGTCAAAGATATTTGGCAAAGTTATCTGTGATACCCGAGGGGCTGCTGTTGCGTGTGGAAAGTGGTGCTTTTTCAGAATCCGGAGAGTGGTGCCTCTTCAATTTTTGAACCAACGGCCCTGTTGCCTTTTCTTTTATTAGGACATCAATTGTGTGCAAGAAGTACATTCAGAGAGTTATTGCTTGTAGGAATTTTCCACTTACTTTATAGATTTATTGCACCTCATTTCTCCTTCATCATTTATGAGAATGTCTAGCCCATCTGACCTTCGTTTTGACTTGAACTTTGGTGAAGAGGCAGCCATGCCTTCTCAAGACAACATATGGCGCCCATCCTTCTTATCCCCTACTGGTCCTCTTACTGTTGGGGACTCTGTGATGAAGAATGATATGACCACTGCGGTGGTGGCCAGGAACCTTCTCACTTCTAAAGATAACAAACTACTTTCGAAACGATCTGATGAGTTGGCTGTTAAGGATTCTCTGGCTCTCAGTGTTCAGTGTGCAGGTTCTGTGTCTAATATGGCCCAACGCCTATTTACTCGAACCTATCAAGTTGAATCATTGGTGGCTGAAGTGATAAGTCTCAAACAGGAGATCAGATGGCTCAAGCATGAGAATAAATAGTTGCACAGGCTTGCATATGACTATGCTACAAACATGAAGAGGAAGCTCGACCAGCTGCAGGAATCTGATGGTCAGATTTTACTTGATTATCAGAGGTTTGTGGGTTTGTTCCAAAGGCATTTATTGCCTTCGTCTTCTGTGGATGTACTGCGTAATGAAGCTCCAAATGATCAACCTTCGATGCATTCTTCTTCTGGGGTTCTGCCTAGTACTGAGGCTCCGATTAATCATCCTCTGGTGCCTCTTCTTTCTGGGGCTCTGCCGACTGCTGAGACTTCTCCGGAGCAACCTTTGTGAATGCTCCCTCTTGTTTGTTTATTTTGATTCATGTATATGTACATATTTGTAACTTATCAAAGATATCAATAAACAAGCTTTGCTTCATT